GATTACAGTAACACGTTACAAGTAAAGTAGCGTTACCGGTGGAACTCCCCTTTCTGTCAGTATAAAGAAGTTTAATTACACATTTAATCTCTGAATGTAATAAAAAGACGACAGTATGTCTCAGTCATTCCACGTGACAAAGAAATGCCGGTGCTGTAAATGAAAGACGTGTCAGCATCACCGTTTGAGCTGAAACTGAAAGAAATAAATATGTAACATTACAGAAAAACTGGAAAACTCATTAAAATACATTTGAATGTCTGAAATTTTAAGCCCTCTTTTCTGCACCCATCCAGTCGATGTGTGTTTCTAAGTTACTGGCCACAAACAAAGCTTGCACCTCTGTCATCTTATAATCATTACAGTACCCACTATCCCCCTCTTTTCTATCTTACTGCCAGCCGCAGGGTGGAGGAAACCTGGCAAAGTGCATTTACACAGATTTTACGTAAGCAAGCCTAGAAAATGCACAAGGGCTCTACAGCTTATCAACCTTGCAAAGGTCCCAGAAGATTAAGTCATCGTGTTCTGATTTAAAGTTCTGAACGGTTTTCGGTGTTTATGTGCTGCTCTTTGTCCTTGCAAGCCATCACATTTAAAACCGGAATATCCGTGAAGGGGCACAGTCCTCGGCTTTTACGCTATCCACTCGTTAACTTGCAGGATCAAAGGTCTTTTATAAGTTATCACTGGAATTTGCTCAGTGCGCTCAGTGAGTCAGAGGCAGGCACACGGTGTGAAAACACGGACCACTCCAGCACTACTCCTCTACTTTCAACTTCAAGGTCTGCTGCCAGACATGGACAACATCTACGAAACACTAGATCATGAAGATGAGCCCGCAGGACGCGATCGCGTTGAGCCCAAATATGAGAACTCGGGTGAGGCGAGGGAGCAGCTGTACAGCGAGGTGCTGGTCCACAGGGCGTCTCAGGAGGAAGACCGCAGCTCCCCGGATTACATGGAGATCAGGGAAGGCGGCGAACGCAGCGACTCCTCTTCTTCATCCAGCGACAACGAGGACGCTAAAGCGAGAAAGAAAAAAGTGGAGCCCCAGCCTGCGGTGGAAGTGGAGGCACAGGTGCAGGAGGTGAGCGGCGAGGCGCACAACGGATCCAGGCGCTCATCGTCCTCCTCAGATTCATCCGCCTCACCCGGAGATCCTTGCGACGACCCGCCGTTTCAGAGGAAGATCCAGGAAGAGGATAACGCCGAAGATGGGATGATGATGGCCTACAGCCACCCTAAAACTGACCCCGAGCCACAAGAGTCTGTCGACTACACGCTTAAAACTCTGGAAAGTGTCACTTTGGATGAAAGCAGCTCTGCGCCAGCTGATCCCAACCAGCCTAACATCGCCCTGTACATTAAGGTGAGACATATGCTATACTATATAAAACGAGCTCTGCAGGGTTGATCCAGGCATCAACAATACACAGCCTCAGGGTTCAGCATGAGCCTTCAGGCGCGTGGAATTTCACTGAGGCCAATTAGCAAGGTTATTATCGTTAACGAAAACTAACGAAATAACGAAAACTAGAAGTGAAAAAACATTTTCGTTAACGGAAATAAAAATAAAAACAAAAAAAGGAAAACTAACTAAAACTGGAATGAGTGTTCA